GAAGAAGAAATAGCAGTAGCTGGTTGGGGGCGCTCAGATAAGTTTGAAGATAAATGTGTAATATCACATTCCAAGGTGTCCCAACCCACCTGGTGAATTTTTCTACAAGTATCATTTCAGCAGTCAGCCTCAGTCTTGTCTCTCCCCCTTTCCATCCAGCAGAGACACCTTACCTCAAAGAATAATTATTGCTATGGTGATTTCTAAATTACTGGATCCATGGAGCCTACTTAACCTGATGTAAAAGGTCCCTTTTTCTTCCCCACTTTCCTCATTACTGCAGGAGAACATTTTGGCCCGAACAATGGCTGTATACATCAGCCCTGATTTATTAAGTTTAGAGGATTTGCACTGTTGTTTTACAAAATGGTGTCAACTTGCAGCATGACTCTATTTGATGATGAATAGCTTTCCCAGGCCAAAGAGCTAATGACATCCAGAGCTTCCCTGCCTCCCGCACTCCCGCGGCACGAAAGGCCACGGATAATTTCTGCCGAATCAAGCCCATAAAGAGAGAATTTATAATCAGCTTTAACATATTTGGGAGCTAAAGTACCTTAGTCCTTCATCAAAGGGAATGATAAAAACCAGAATTAATATGGCTGGATTTAATTATTTCTGAGAGCGTAATTACTCTTGAGCTAACTGGACAGGAGGTGTGTTATTTCTCTTACTTTGAGCGGAGGAAAGGCATTTACAAATCACCATCAAGATCTAAAAATGCATCATGTTAGTGCCTCAGCATTGATTGCAATACAAACAGAATAAATATTTGAATAATAATTTAAATAATGCAAGAACTATTTTTAAATTAAGCGAGTATAGGCTTCGTTCCTCCTGCACACAAAGTTTCTTCAGCTTTTGTAGCAAGACTATTCCTTGCCTTTAGGAAACATAAAATGCAGTAATCACTTTCCCCCCTTTTTAAAGTGACTTAGGGGTCTAATTTCCCATTAGCATTAATGAGAGTTATGGGTATGCACCAAAATGAGACTAAACCTTAGAGAGCCTTTTGATAAGTAAATCATCTTTGCATCAGCATTTTAGAGGCTTTAGTATCCTCTTTTTCCTCCATTAGTTATGGTACCTGATTACTTTGTTGATATTTAATATTTATTACATCAACTTTAGCTAAAATTTAGGCTGGCATAGTAAGGCAGCATTAGCTGTTTTAAGGCTTGTGAGTCAAACATAGTAAAATCCTTTTTTTTTTAAATGGATGCCCATTTTTGAAAGTGAAATGCTCAAAAAGTAAAATTAATTGGGCCTTCACAAAAAGTGATGAGAAGGCTGGAGTACAACAACAGTGAAAAGTAACTGAGGACAAAAGACTTCTGGCAATTATAGTTTTGTAAAATATTCCTTTTTGTTTCACTGGCTCATAGTCCATTGTGTCTTAGTATCAATATTCTTAAAATTAGTTTCTGTTACCTGAAAAGAATATTAAAATGATGGAAGAACCCTAAAATATCATATATTGAATGAACAGTCAGTGCTAAAGAAATAAACCTAGTTGGGGGATACATTTAATTTACAAAATCATAAGCTATCTGTAGAATATTAATTGAAAGCTGCAGGAAATATCTAAAAATTATACACCTACTAAGCAATTTTAGTTCTAATTTATTTTTACTTAAAAAGGCTATTGCTGCTACATTTTGTAGGTTCTTGCCATAAGATTTTATTCTGTTTATCTGCTTGTGATTTCAGAGTGTTTTCCTGTGTGAGGACTCAAAACATCAATCTTTCTTTATGATCATCCAGACACCGCGAGGCTGTTAGTCAGAGTAATCAGTTATCTGGAGAATCAGAAGTAAAGCCATTTCTCACTGATTTTAGAATGAGAGTTATTGCTGAAAGGGGTGGAATTCTAATCCAGAGCTTCTCTTAATACCACTTTCATGACTTCAGAAAGTGTCTGCAGCCTCTGAACGTGGAGCAGGCAGCGCAGATCATAACAGGGCTCTGCCTCCTCCCAGAGGCTGAACCCCTTGATTTTGCCCTTTTAGACAGCCCTGTGCACAGTGGGTCTTGAGCTGATGCTTCTTTTAGGGATTGCCCAGCAATTAAAAAAATATAAATTAATCTTCGCAGCACCTCTTTGTGTTCAGATAAAATGTGAGGAGGTTCACACCTGCTACATGAGGGCCAAACTCTGCTTTGGTTTCTTGGACTCAGAGCATTTATAGTTCCAGGGAGCAGAAAGCCTCTCTGAAGATGCAATAGATTATATTTGCAGGCCAGAGTGAACTTGTGGGAGAAATAATCTCTCATCTGTTTCCCAGGCAGTGTGAGTGGTGCCTGGTGGCTCTGCCACGTGTCTCCACAGGGATGAGTCCTCCTGCTCGGGGGATGTGGGGAGTGGAGCCCTTGGATTGTGAAACAGAGCTCTGGCTGTATTAAAAAACATGTTTAATTTATGACAGCTTAAAAATAGGTCAGCCCCTTTGCAAAAAGGAATTGTCAAGCACTGGAACAGGCTGCCCAGGGAAGTGGTTGAGTCACCATCCCTGGAGGTATTTAAAAGATGTGTGACTGTGGCTCCTGGGGACATGGCTTGGTGGCTGCCTTGGCAGTGCTGGGTTAATGCCTGAGCTGGATCTTAAGGGTCTTTTCCAACCTTAACAATTCTATGATTTTAAAAAATGGTCTAATTTTTTTTTTTTTTATTTTTAGTGTTTTTCAGAGAATTTCAGAACTGCATAAACATGATAAATATCCAGGTCATTTTTAAAGCTAGCCCCAGTCATGCTTTACCATATTATAAAATCAGAAATGGTATGAGACCAGACCTTTACATTGAGATGGTTGATGCACTTTGTAATTGAAGTTGAGATCTGGAACCATGATCTACACAAAATACCTGCCAAAAGCCAGCTATTAAAAAAAATGTAACATACACAATCTTGGTTTCATCTAGAAAATAAATTGCCCATCTCTCTGCAAGTTGTTTGGAGAAATGTGTGTTGTTCAGCTTTCCAGATGCCACTTTGTACCTTTCTGGTGACTTTTAAAATTCAAAATATGAGAAGCTACTAAGAAAACGTGTGTGTGTGTATAAATGCATATATTCTTGCCTGTGTCTGCATCTCCATTCTTAAGTACACAGCTCTTACCATTCTTAAATTAACCCTTCCTGTTCTCTATGCTGAAAACCCATCATGAAAATATTGTCATTCATTGCATAGAGTTTTTATTCTTCTGATTTTATTCTTTTAGAAGTAAAGTTGGTATGGTATGAAAATGCTGGGCAGAGAGATATTTGAATGTGTGTGTTTGGATCAGGGCACTATCCAGATACCAAATATTGCAAAGATTATACCCGGGGCTTTTAGGAGGAAAAACCTGCATCTCCAAGGCTTTCAACTGAAGAGAGTGATTGTTACAGGTGTGATTATAAAAATGCTTGTGTTTTCTTTATGATGTGTAATTCTAGTGTTCTGTATTTAGAATGAGTTAAAAACTATACTTCTGACTGATGCAGGAATTAAGGTATTGAGCTTTGGCGTTCAATAATACAGTCCAGTTCCTACATTCACAGTTAAAGTCTCATGGTACTTCATGGTTTTTTTTCTGTTTCTTAAACCCATGCACCTGGTAAAAGCATTTTATGATTTTTTTTTAAAATGCATCACTCAAGTACATGGTATTTTGCCTATAAAAGACAAGTTTAATGCTCAATGACTAATATCCTGTAAAATAACAGAGAGCTTTTTAAATACAAATGTTTTAATACTCCACAGTGCATAGATTTAATGCATGTCTCTTGCCTACATCTACTGCAAATATCAACACATACTGTTCATCTCTTTTTTGTTGTTGTTTTTGTCTATTGCTATTTTATGCATGAGGAAGTTCTTGTTTTCTACTCTGTGCTTGGCTGGCTTTTTCTTTTTTTGTTACTTAGCCCTGTGTTTCTACTGATTGCTTTTTCGCATGCAAATTACAGAATGTCATGGAAATGAGAGAGCTCTGAAAAAAAAAAGGAAAGATAATGCTGAGTTCCAACTGTCTTTTGTTTGTGCGTAAGTGTGTAAAATATATGACATGGAAATATTTTCAGAATGGCCTTTGACTTTCCTTCTGGTGTATATTTTTATTTCTCAGTAAAAGAGTGGGTGTTTTTCCCATTGGAAAACATGATAAATCTATAAATACTTGTCAATAATACAGGTGTTGGGCATAAAGGAATTTTGTCTCATCATCCTTTCATGGAGATAAGGAATTGTGAATGTGAGTGCTTTGCCCAAGCTAAAATTTCAATTCAATACAACTTTTTTGCATGAAACTAACTCTGGCCCATTGAAATCAATGGCAAAAGTCATTGTCTTCAGTTGGTCGGGGATTTCACTCTTGTTTCTGGTTTACATATGGATTTTCATGTTTCTTTACAAATATCTCAGCAGGTAGTCAAAGGTTTCAAGGATATCTACAGTTCTATTTAAAAGAGAATGTGATGAATGTGTCAAAAAACCCAAAATTAAACCTGTGCTTATCTTTATATAAAGCATGAGCTGAAATGGTTGAATTTAGAAATGTGAATTAGCATTTGACAGAAAATATTGTTTTAACCAACTGTCAAGCCTTTTATTAACCACCTTATTGCATCAAGTGCAAGAGGCAATTTGGCAGTTCTTGTCTCCACTATTCCTAATAACAGCAACAGGAAAAAACAATTAAATGAAGTGGATAACTACGGTCTATGGCGGGGTATGCTTTTAGTAAACAAGCCTTAATTCTTCATTTAAAAACAATAAAGCACTGGGCACTCTCTGCTTCTTGTGCTGGATGTTTCTAATAGCCATACCCCCGAGGGAAGGTTTTGCTGTAATGTTTGAAAAACTTAATGAAAAATGGGTCGTTATAAACTAAGATTTCCCTCCCTGAAAATGTTTTTCTTGAGACGTCCGTGGGAATTTAATATTCACTGTTTTTTTTCCTCAGTCTTGTATATTCTTGAATTGTCTTTTTTCCTCCATTTTCTCCGTTCTTAATCCTAGGTCCCCTTACAAAGAAACAGACAGATGATTTAGGTGATAATGACGGTGCTGAAGATGAAGGTATTTTTTGCCGCCAAACTGATTTGCATGACAAGGATCCCTGAAAATCTTTTTTCTCCCCTCTTTTTTTGACTTCTTGTCTTCTTTTGAAGAGTTTTTTTGTTTTTTTAATTCCCATTTTTGATGTGTTTTGTCTTCTTGCTTGTTGTTATACATATATATTTTTAATTTTTTAAAAGAAAGAATGTTGTTAAGTTCTACGTTTTGATACAAAACAGTAACAATATTTAAAAAGGAGGGTTTTTGTTTTCTTGAAATGGACTTTTGATATGTTGCATCCCACCTTTTGACTGAATTTTGTCCATACTATTTAAACTAACACTCTTTTAAAGTTTCTCTGTACACCTTTTTGCATGTTTTCTAACCCTATGTATTTCACCAAGTACAAAGATGTTTCTTTTTTTTTCACTGACTGATCTCAGTTTGATAAACATAGAAAATATTGTGTTTATAAAAGGAAAAAATTCAGAACTTTCTTTAAAAGTGTCTCTTAAGCAACAGAACTTCCCCAGATGCCAACCCATCTGCATTTAGGCTGCAATGAAAAATATTTAATATTAAAGGCCACCCCACCTCCCTCCAGAAGGGAGGCAGCATTGCCTGTTGGTGAAGCTCTGTGGAGCTAAGCTAAAACTAAAAAACCTTGTCTCTTCTGTTTTCTGCAAGCATACAAAGATGCTGATCTACTTGAGCTGACCCTCAGAAAACCCTATTACCAAGTAAAATCAAAAGTTTGAAATGTCAAGCATATTATTCTGTTCATAAATTATGTCTGTTGATCATGAAGCTATGCAGATTTGATATTTTTTCAGGGCTATGAAAATGGTAACAAGGGGCTCTTTTCCTGAGCAGTCTCATCCCTTCAGGTAGATGTGCTTCAGAGTTCTGAATCTTAAACACACACTTTGTATGGTTTATGGTCAATGAGTGAAACAAACTACCACATGTGACTGGTAGAGTTGCTGCTTGCTTCTCTCTTAATATTTGGGGTGGCAGGGGGAAGTTGGCCAGATGAAACTTCACAGGTAGGCTGAAAGGATCTTTACTAAGAAGTTTTTCATCACAGATAACATCAACTACTTAACTTAGAAGCACAGAGTCTTTCCAGAAAAGATTAAGGAAGGCAAATTTGAGCATTTAACTTCTTACCCAATAATTGAACGCAGATTTTGTCACCATTTTATGACTGATTTATGATCCTCTACTGGATCTGTATGTTAAGCATACGAATGAAAGCCCACCAGCTGGGCCAAAATTTGCAAGATTTGATGGTTTTGATAAATTGGAAATCTCCTTTGAAAGCTCTCCTGTGGTGTTTTAAGCCAGCAGGCAGCTAAACAGCACAGAGCCAGTCACTCCTCCCTGGGGGAGAGAATTGGGGTAGGAAATAAAAAAGTAAAATTATTAATTGAGATAAAGACAGTTTAGTAGGACAGAAATGAAATGAAATAATAGCAATAATCATGATGAAACAATGAGGATACGCCAAACATGTGGTGCACAGAGCAATTGCTCACAGCCCCTGGCTCAGATGCTCAGCAGCTCCTGAGCAGTGACCCCCAGCCAGCTCCCCCCCAGGTGACGTGCTGAGCATGAGGCCACAGGATATGGAATATCTGGAATTTCCCTTTGGCCTGTTGGGCTCAGCTGTCCTGGCTCTGTCCCCTCCTCACCTCTCATGCCCCCCCAGCTTATTTGCTGAGGAGCTGAAAAGTCCTTGCCTTAGTGTGAGCACTGCTCAGCAACCACTGAATATCAACATTATTCTCACCCTGAGTGCACAAATTAACCCTATCCCAGCTGAAATCAGGCCACACACTATTCAGAGCTAATTACAACAATTCAGATCCTCCTGGCTTTATGAATTTGTACACAAATCCATGACAAATCCAGAATGTTGCAAATGACATTCTTATGAAATCTCAAAAATCTGGGATAGTGAATTAGCCATTACAAGAATGACTCTGTCTTAACAATATGTTTTAAGAAACCATTTGAAATTTGGGCTATTCACCCAGTGGGCCTTAATAGCTCTCCTAAATTGCTGTATAATTGCCAAGACAGATGCTAATAACATCAGGTTTGGGGAGTCCTTCTCTGCTTAGAAGAGGCTCCTCAGTTTACTGAAATTCAGCAGAGAGTGGTTGCTGTCAGCAAGTGCTGTAGTACAGATGAGAGGAGGGATCTCAGTCTGCTGAGAACAAGTGTCCATGTCAGGGAAAACCTGTCTCCTGCTCTGACAATTGCAGGAGGGAGAAGAAGGGCTGTGAGAACACAGCACTCAAACTAGAGGGGAAGGAGCACATTTACAACACTAATAAATCTCTGTAATTTATAGGACTGGGATTAATTTTCTCTGGCGTACAAGTGACAGTTTTGTTCTCCTTTCTGTGCCAATAGAAGAGTGCAGGCGGTAATTAGACTTTTACTGCTTCCGAGAGGCACAGAGAGACAGGGAAAATTTAAATTTTTATGATCACTAGACACTCAAGACTGCTGGGATGTCTGCTGGGCTGATAGAAGTCCTCTCTGCTGAGACCATGCATTTCCCAGTGGAGGAGCAGGGTCAGGTGTCCTGCATTTTTGTGAACTCCTGCATTTTTGTGAACCTGCTCTTTTGTGAAACTCCAGCACCTGTTGCATGTGCAGAACTGAAGAGTTCACAAACCCAGTCGTTTGTGTTTGGGTATGAGTAGCAGGAAAGAGAGAGGCCAAGCAAAAGGTTACCTTAGCTGGCTAATTTTCTGCTAAGCTGTCCTTCAAAGCCTTCACTTTTTTCTAGTATGGTAGATTTTAGGCAGTGTAAAATCCTTCAAATAGCTGTAGAAAAAATAAAATAAATGCTAAACTGAACAAATTATGAAAGTGGAGCATTAGGGAGAATGGGCTGTACATGGTGCAAAACAACTGCTATCAGATATCCATAGAGTCCATGTTACATAAACAAGGCCCGCTGATTTCTAAAATGCCCAGGATGGTCTCTCCATCAAAAATTCTAGAGATCTCATCTTATTTATTGTATTACATCTTTCTGAAGAAGGATCTTCCATGGCAGCTTCTTGTAGCAAATGTTTGGAGAGCATTTTTTCTTGTGCCACTCAAATATCTGAGTTTGATTAGGAGATTTCCCTTTAAAGCACTGTTCAATAATCCTACACCCATCAGCTGCTGCATGCCACTACCACAGTGTTGTGGTCCAAACCTTGCCAGCACAGGCACTGGAGTCAGCAATCAAACTTGGATCTCTGGTATGTGCTGCAACCAGTAGACCAGGCTTAATTAGATCATTTTTCATTTTTGTTTTCAAAAGACCCAAAGGCAGTGGTGCACATTACCAGCTAATGATCTGCAAATTTGCTGTTTAAAAAATGAAGGTGTTTTCAAATTCTGTGAGTGTGAAAAGTCAGAAATCACAGAAATGCCTTTTTTCCCCGGTCTGGATGCATTATTCTTTCTATTAACCCTTTCATTCCTACACTTCTATTGCTAACCTGTTTTCAGTAAACATTGGACAACTTGAGCAGGCACCAAAAACAAAAGTGGCAAAAGCATCTGCAACCAGTGAGCACTGGGGCCTTCCCTTTTTATAGCAGTGCTGGATTTGCCCATTTGCTGACCTGCAGAAATGCAATATCTAGTGTAGATGCAAGATTTACCTTCAAATTGCTCAGCAGTTACACAAAGTCTACCTTCCCCAGTCTGGAAACAAGGCTTAGTTTTAAAAAGTAAAATATTTTCATCTTATTGGCTTGTCTTAGCCTTAATTTTGGCCAGGTAATAATTTAATTTGGCAAAAATTTAATAAATAGAAAAAATCAGTGACTCTTATGCACCCTTAGTTCCTATCCACTAAAATCCTAAGCATGACCTAAAATATGGCAACACAAACCATTAACCAGCCAATGTACTCTGGCATCAGAGCTGGACTTCTAAGTAGTGAGTGTTGTATGAAATATCCATGAAGGATTGCTCACAAAAGAATTTTCATCCACTGCTCTATCATACACACCTTGCCTGGCACATCAACCTGTAAATCTTAAATCCTTATTTAGTCCCCAGAGCTGCTTGAGCATCTCTCAGTTTTTAATGCATTCAGCCTCACAGCATCCCCCTGCAATACAGGAATGCTGCTATTCCATTTTTAGAAAGGAAGAGTGCAGATGCTGAGTCTGAGGAAGGCAGACACCAAGTCTGTTGCTGAGAGCACATGCCTCACAAGTGGGGTCTGCAGTGCAGTTGATAGATGCTTCTGCTCTTCCCTCCTCCCTTTCAATTTCTCCTGTGGAAAAGGAGACAGATTAGGAGCAGATGCTGCTGTTTGCTCACAGGCTGTAACTGTGATGATTCTGATCATTTAGGCTGGTGCTCTGTCTTGTATGGGCTATTGGACTTCGTTGACAGAAGGAAGTTCTTGGTCCAGAGCAGGTTTTAAATCAAAAAAGCCAAAAAAACAACTCAAATTTTAAGTTGCTAATGATGCAGGATTTGTCTACAGATCCCCTCTTATGCTTGACAGCCTGCAGTGCCATTGCTGTGAAGGAGCACATTGCAGAGTTGAGGCTCTCCACAGCCCCCTATCACTCCATTGCTACTAAAATACTCTGGGATGCCACATTTGGCATCTCACCTGCCTTCAGCTGTCATGGTAAGAAAGAGGGGGAGCAGCACTCTCTCTGTGTGGCACTGGTCACATGTTTCTGGACTTGGGAGATCAGCAAACAGCAGAACACATTTGTCTGCCCTGCAAAGCAAAAATGCTCCAGCCTTGATTACAGCCTTCAGTGAGAGCCAGCCAGGCTGGGGGAGCACAGGTCTGACCACTTTGGGTGGCTGTTGACTGATGCACATGGCCAAAATCATGATCCCTGTTCCCCCTGTCACCCATCCATGTTAGCTCCCTGATTTCCTCTCCAGAGTACAACTTCCAGTGCCACTTGCACATTAAGTTGTGCTGATTATATTTTCCCTTTACACACAGACACACTGTTCAAATTGTGTCAAATTTTTGTGGTGATGTTATTAATACTTGAAAACACGCATGATAAAATTCTGACAGACCTTTAATTTAAGTACCTCTTTAGGGCTTCATTTTACTTTCAGCACTGCCAAGCATTGCTTGTACAATGAAGAGTCTGTCAGCTTTTGCAGTTCTAACCATCATCCTTTAATAATTTAAAATGACTGCTTACCTGGCTATTGAGGTCCTACTCTAATGGGAATCTGCTCCAGATGTTTACCTGTAAAAGCTTTGGCCTTTTTCATGCTAGGATAACGTTCCTATAGTCCTCCATCAGGATCTCAAATAATTTTCAGGTGAAGGTAGTTAAGGGTTTGAGAGTGCACATGAATGAACCCCTGGTTTGACAGGCAGGAAAAACAAAGAAAGGGAGAGAATTCTATTTGTCTGGGGCCTGATAGATGCAGGCTATATTTTAAAATAGTAAACATATCTGAAGCTCCTCACAGAAGCTCAAGAGTTACTTTGATAGTCTCAGGATATCTAGTTTTATATCTCATTCTAAAAATGTGGTATTAATGGATGTTTAAATATTAGGACTAAGTGCACTAGTTTATTAAATGGTAGTGCATCTATAAGGCATCTGATGGATTCAAACTGAAACATCAAATGCTGTTGAAAGGCTTTAAAATTATTAAGAGTAGCAATGATTGGTACCATGCTCTGCTTAAATATTTTCTTCAAAAGCTTATGGAAGAGTTACACACATACCCACATACCACCCTATGGAGGGCACACACAGGTTTTGCACTAACCAATCTAAAAGTTTTCCACTGTTCTAGTCTTTTGTCACATTCAAAACCCAAGAATTACTTAGCAATCTGCATCAAGCTGTCACAATTTTTTTATGCCATCTAGAAAAGCAATGCTTGTGACATCGGTGCTAAACTAATTATCTTTTTCTGTGAAGTTGTCTCAAGGTAGGCTTTTTTTCCTTTCCCATTTTGGTTTTCCAATGCAAATTATGCTTGTTAAGTCACATGGCCAATTCACAGCAGTTTTGAATGACTGAAGCTATAATTATGTTTTGTTATATATGACAATTGTGACTGATATTCACAGTCAGACCTGGTTCCCTGTTGTGTAATGTAACAAACATAGAATAAAAGTCAGCCCTATTCCTAAATTGTCTGTAACGCAATTAAGATGAGACATAAAAAGTAGATGCAACAAACATTAGAAAGGTACAGAAGAGAATGAATAATAGAAATAATTACAAGAAAATTAATGTATATGTAATATAAATAAGGTTATTCTCTGCTGTGCAGTAAGATCTACTTAGATGTTTTATGAACTAGCAATTTAAAGCCAAACAAATCACAGCACTCAAAAATGATCCTATGTGGGACTGAAACCAGAACTGAGTTGAATTTGAGAAGGGTTTTTAACAGTGCTATCCTTGCATATGTCTTTGAAAAGATGAATGTGTCTGTTTTTAATTAAAGCAACACTTAATAAAAGGCAACAAAATTGCAGAACACAACTAAATTAAATCAGTCTATAAATCTACCCTTGGCAGAAATGCCACATTTACACCTAAAGTCTTCAGGTTCAGAATGAGCTACAAACACAAATAACTATTAATCTGCATCCATGAATAACTATTAATCTGCATATGGAAGTATAAATACAGTGTCCTGAGATTACTCCAGTACATGCATAAAAATGACTGACCCCGGCCTGCAGGAAAAAAAAAAAAAGGATTTATCATTTATGGTCAGGTTTTGAAAAGTACCTGAGTACCAAAAATATCAATTATTTACTTAATTGAGTTGGACACTTTTTGAAAAGTGCATCTTTCTGACACTTTTGTACTAATACACAAAAGTGTTCTCCTCACAGAGTATTATCTTAATTCTTCCTCCAGTTTAGTTTTAAAGGATGATAGTTTTAATGGAAGAACATTTTAAGGTAGGAATCAATTCTTGATTAAAATTCTTGATTTTTTTGCTCTCTTCCTTCAATCTTATCATTTAATAACCTCAGTTGCTAATAACATTTGTGCTTAAACAACACTCTCCCAGCTGAATATTTGCACCTTTCAAATATTCCCGGCTGTAGACTGCAACTGATATGAAACCTCTGACCAAAATGCAGTGATCTTGCTTTTTCCCAGGAAGAGCTTTGTATAACCCATAGGCCAAAGTGCCAGCAGCCTCAGCTGAATGCTGCACACCCTGGCTGATGTCTCCAGCACTAGATCCCTGCCCAAGACACTCAGAGGCAGAGTTTTCCTTTTTGGGGGAGGGATTCCTCTTATGACTGATGGATTTGGCAAAGCGAAGAATGAGGAAAATTCATTCTGCATGTCATTTGCTCTGACATGGCACACAGGCAGAGCTGAAAACTGGCCTTCCTTTATCTATCTGATCTGTAATCTTGACAAGGATATTAGTAGTAGAAAATACCAGTATTGTAGAGACAGAAATTATTCAAATAATAACTTCCTTATATATGAGATTTTTATTCATGAATATGTGCTTCCTTTCTCAGATAAAGGACACTCATTCTTTTCTAAATATTCCAATATTATTTTCCAGATATACAGGCCAGTGATACCAACATTTCATTGCTGCTCACAGTTGGTGCTCTGTAATTCTATGTAATTTTAATTAAAGAAGAATTCTGAGACAGTTTCCCCCTGTGTTACCATCAAGCATACAATTAACTGTGTACAATTTCTGCTGGGAACAGTCACACAGTGATTTCAGATTAATAATTTATTATCGTTTCCATATTTGTGTCAAAAAAAAAAAAAAAAGGCAGCATAGACTAAGAACAAGCACCTACTAGAAACAGTATATGAATTTGGAAAGACTTTTTCTTCAGTGTAGATTTTAAACCTGAGAAGCTCATAACTCCATCCCATGGACAGTGAAGATAAATAATCTCTGCAGCTTTACACTCTGAAAGTTGTATTTTAGAAAGCCCTCACTAAAAGCACAATCAAGGAGAGCAATACAAGCAATTTCATGCACAACCTTTCATCATCCTTTTGGTCTTGAATAAGTGATTTTTCCAGTACTTCCAATATTGAAGGTCCAATTTCTGATCTTGACTGTTCTGGCATTTTCTTCAAATCAGAATCAATATCAAAGTAATAGTAACAGTTGGCATTTTATAAAAAGAAACATCTGTGCTGCTGTTTTTCAACTCATTCCAAAAGCAGGGTTTTTAGTGTAGCTGCCCCCACCTACTCCTTGCAGTGCTTCAGAAACAATTCCAACAGTTCTGCAGAGAGCTCCCTTGAAAGCTTCTAAACTAAGATCCTCCCAAATCAAAGGGATAAACAATACATCTGAGGTTTCTTCAAACGCTGAAGGAAGCAATCAGAGAAGTTACTTGAATACTGTCATAATGACAAAAAAAGTGGTTTTGAATCAGAATGTTCAGAAGAGTTCATCACTGGGAAATTTTCCTATGCTTTCTTGCTATTGGCTTTTTTGATTTTGAGGGACTATTATGGCATCTTATGATTTGGGTGTTGGAAGAGACTCAGGCACCCTGTAAATCAGAACAAAATGCAATTTAATCATCTGTAAGAGTTTAAATTTACACCTAAGCTTATTTATTTCCTGTCCAACAGAAAACCCCCAACTTTTAAAAACATATCAGCCCAACTAACTGTTTTGAATTGGTACTCAGGAACAATTCTCCTCAAGAGCAGTGGCACTGTTCATATATTCAAAATTTTATTCTGAGTAGAAGCATCCATTTTCAAATAGGACTGATTGGGGGTGGAGGGATACCTAAACCCAAACTCAAAACACTATGGCAATTTATAATTTTTTTGTCAGAGAGAATGGCAGAGCTTCTAACATTTTAAAACTGTTCCTTGCCTTCAATGTCACTTTTGATAGCCTTGCAGTTTTTTTGAATGCAGGGTGAGGATTTTTCAGTATTGTTTCAGGCAGTTATTTTTTCAAATACTCAGTCCTTTTCATGATTTAGGAAACTAAGAAGTACCCATGCACCTTAAACTTCAGGATACCCTGAAGTTATCAATAATCTTACTCCAAGGTCTAAGTACTAAACAATTTTCAAGTACTTTTTGAACTCAAACTGCAGAAGTTATCAATAATCTTAATTCAAGGTCTAAGTGCTAAAAAACTTACAAGTACTTTTTGAACTCGAACTGCAGACCCATCCAAAGACAGCTGTTTGTACCTTTTACAAATTAGTGGACAGGAAGAAATCAACACTTTTATGTACAAGCAGAAATCTTGTTTATCTTAATATGTTGGATTTCCCTTAGCTAAGAGACTAGAAAGTTGCACTGAGCTTTAGAAGTGTTCAGCCAAAATGAGCTCACTGCTATGTTGGTTGACATTACACAGAAGACACTCAACTCAGCAGGGTCAGAATCAGAGCAATGCCTCGCTGCATTTGAGCAAATGTGTTACCATTTTCAGTTCCTTTCTGCTTTTCAGAGTGTTTCAAAAAAAAAAAAGGATTTTTAGTGACGAGCAAGCCACAAAGGAACACTTGTTCCCACCTGCCCATTTTCTTATGCAAAAGATGTTGCTTGAGAAACACTTCGAGAAAAAAAAAACCTCACTAAAAAAAAAAAAAAAAAAAAAAAAAAAAAAAAAAAAAAAAAAAATTTAAAAAAAATTAAAAAAAAATTTAAAATCTTGCATGTATCTTCTTTGGTGCTTTCTTGAGATAAAATGTGTCTTAATATTTTTTCCAGACATTCGGGACAGTGGGGGACCTAAGCCTGTCATGGTGTATATTCACGGAGGGTCCTACATGGAAGGCACTGGAAATTTATATGATGGCAGTGTTCTAGCAAGTTATGGGAATGTGATAGTCATCACAGTCAACTATCGCCTTGGGGTGCTTGGTAAGAAGCTTTCAGCTTTCCACTAATCCCTGCTATCTGCAATGCAATTCATATTATATGTGAGAATGTACTTTAAAAAAAAAAAAAAAAGCAGAAGAGCGGCATGAAGTATTTTAAAATTTTCTTTGTCATTTGCAAGGTTTGTATGCTGGGGATGAGATATAAAGATATTGCAGGTATTTTCTGGAAGAGCCTGCTGTCATGCTGCATGAAACAGGTATTCCCATTGCTGAGCTGTCCAGGCAGAAGAGTTTTTCTCTTTTTTTTTCCTTTTTTTCTTTTTTTACATTTTTTTTGTTTGTTTGTTTCTGTGAATAACACTGATCCTTTAATTCATAGACTGCTAAATTAATTTTTAAAAAACTTTTAAGCCATAGAGGGTAGGGTTTTTTATTGGAATGAAAGAGACTAACTTTTAATTACCACAATTTTTTCATGCTTTGAAAAAGTGAAGGATGTTATGAAAACATCTTTTTACATGTTTGTTTTGAGCTTCATTGTGGTTTTGAGAAGTGGTATGGGTGTCATTCAAACACCTCCAGTATTTCTTTTCCAGGTAATGAATTAGAGAATTAAAGAGTTACTTTTGATTGTTTCAAATATATTCACTAGAACGTGTTTGTGCTGTTGGTAGAGGTGTGTGGTCTCCCTCTGGTACCTTGTGTTTATGGAAAACAAAGTTACTCTGCTATTTTCTCAAAATAGTCACATGCATGATAAAGTCCACCAGCTCTTGAGACAACATGATTGTTAGGGGGTTCTGCATATTCTACCAACATATTGCATGATGGAACTCCTGAAAGCAGGAGCTGGGTCCTGGGATATAATGGAGATTAGAACAGTAACTACAGAATACTGACATAGGGGCGAGGGTATTCCCTGGAACATCTGCAACAGCAGGGGATTTATTCTGAAGACCAGTCAATTTTATTTTCAAGTGTCTGCTACTCTGCTTTATTCTGGGTTGTTGGTTTTTGTCATTGCCCTGTTCTTGGTGTTTTGAATTTGGTCAACCCAGTCCCCAAGTGTGTCGGTTCTGCTTTGCTCATCTGGGTAATTGTCTTCCAACAGTTTCATTTTTGTTAAAAATTCTAATCCTAATTTCCTAATTTCAGGGGTAGGGAATGAATTTTAACTTTAGATTTGGAATTTAGTCTACTGTGATTGTGTTTTGCAAGAGACTGAATAATTTCCAGATTTATTTCCTTGGTACTGGCGGTATCATTTGTGGTGTAACACTTTAAGTAAGGAAGTTCTGCTATTTTGTGTGGTTTTCTTCCTCCTGTTTTCTAATTATGTGATGACTTAAAGTCCTGGACACATATTAGTACAGCAGATAATAATCTGCTACCTGTGCCTCTAATCAACATTTCAGTTTTGCACCAGTGCCTGTCTTTGATGTCTCAAACAATATTTCTCTGTATTATATGCCAGTATAAAAGAAAGTATCTATTATCTAAAAGGGCTGTTTATTTTTGTGTATTATTAAGTCTGATTCCTAAGTCATTAGTAATTGCAGTGTTTAAAAGGGCTAGTTGCTTGAAAGATGAAAATTATTGTACCTTTGTTGATGATAATGGTTTTTGCACTTGTAAATTAACACTGACCACTGAGGTAACCCACAGTTGCCATCTCATCAGCTGAGGAGGATTTCATTTTTGTTCATGTCTTTGTGATTCTTTGGGCTTCATGGTCTTTACTGAGTCTCAAGGGTCAAAGACCTGATTTTATTTTAAGTGGGACCTATTACAGTAAAACCTCTAAAATTCACAGCAGAATCCAGTGATTGGTATGAATACTTGATACTACATTCTGCAAACCCTGTAACAGGTTTGCAGGGGTTTCTTAGTAAAACCAATGCTGTTTATGTAGAAGTCCTACACATCTACTGTATTTGCTGCAATGCCTATCTGTCATGTATTAAATAAATAATGATGATGTATGATTATATAGGTAGGGGAGAAACAGAGCAACAATCAGAAAAGAAAGTTTGAGCAGTTTAAATTTTTCCTGCCTTTCCTTGTTTTCTAATCTACAGATACCATCAGAATAGGACTGTGCAGAATCACAGTAGATATCAGCTTTTAACTTTTTGATATCTTGAAGCTCTTGTTCCTCCTTGTTCCAGCAGAATGTTACCCTTTGCAGTCACATTCAGATATGGATTTACAAAAGCATAGGGAAAAAATTCTCATCTTCCCTTTCCTGATCACATCCCACAAGGTGAGAGGTCCAGCTCCACTGACTGGTGCCCATGGGATACTGGATATCCCTTCACCACTATGTAAAATGCCTGGCTTTACAGGCAGAAGGAAAATTTAAGCAATTATTAATCACATGAGAAGATGTAGGGATGAAATAAGGTTCGTCTTCTCCCTTACACATGACCTTTATTGGTCTGGTTTCTTGTATCAGACTTTTGTGGATAGATGTCTTTATATAGGTGATCTCTGTGAGTCATCTGCCATCGTTTCACCAAGATGTTGACTTTTCTTAAACAAATAAACTGATAAATCATTATCATTCAATGAATGCTTAGAGCTGAAATAGTAACATCTTCTTCCAGACTTGGGACTGGGGATGTATTTTGGTATTAGGGTCCTCACAGTATTACTGTTAAGTCCACAGTAGACAGCTTCAGATTATTCAGACAGTTCAGATTATTTTCCTGTTTATTCTGAGTTGAAAGATCCCTTGTTTTATGGACTAATTTTTTATGGACTGTGTTTTTTGGAGATGCAAGGTTTACTTCTAAATAAAATGTTAGAAAATGCTTAAAAGTGAAATCCATTTGGTGAAGAGAAAGCAATAATAAAAATTAAAAAATGATGGAGCAAGTGCATCTAAAATAAAAATAAAAACCAAAACAAAATAACAAAATATGCTTACCAAATAATCCAACAAAAACCCAAAGCTCTGGTGGGTTCCCTGGCCCAATTTTGTCTTTGAAACAAGTCTGGGGATGAAAGTCTGTTAGAAACTGTCCTTAGATAAAGAAGATGGAAAAGAGAACTGCTTGCCCTGGGAATCTGGGGACTGCTGAATAAGAAATCATTGGAAACACAATATGTCCTCTTTAGATTCTTTCCAAATGCAAGTCTTGTGCAAGCAATTTCACCAAGAAGGGGCACTGCAGAAGCAGTCTAACAGCCTTGAAGGACAGTGCAGGTATATCTTTATGGCTTCTTTTTGGGAAAGGACACATATGAAGACAAGTTTGGTTTTTAAACTCAGCTGAGAGGAGATGTCAAATGTTTACTCAATATATATCCACCTGGTAAAAAGCAGGAGCATTTTATTTAATTTTCATTAAGAAGATGGAAAAGATTTATAAAAGGAGTCTATTCAACATCCAGGAAAAATCATGATGGACAGATTTAATACTGCCAGTGCTCTTTCTGTGTTCTTTCTTATGAAAGGTTTATTTAGAGAAGGAGAATGCTTTGGGTCACCATTGGCTACTACTGCTTTCAATTTCAATAGTGGAGAGAAAGGAGAGAGCTGGTTTATGCTAACTGGGAATTTTTTTCTCCATTTTATTAATTTATACTCTTTGTTCTTGGTTATCTGTAAGCCACAGGACCTTAATAGAACTTTAATAGAAAAAAAGCATTTGTATTGAAGCTCACAAACTGAACAGGGAGCAGAAATAATGACTTAGAGAAATCTCTAGTTTGAGTAGTGCTTTAAATGTCTCATTTTTTCCTCTTTAAGAGGCAGTGGTTGTCCCTACAGAAACAGTAAATTGTCATTCCAAGGGTCTGGATCAAAGGTGGTAATAAATAAAAAGGAAAAATGGTCTGTATTTTGTATTTTCTGTTAGGCATTCATAATGTCTGCCTTGGAAAGGCAAACATCCTAAACTTTTAGACCAAAATTCGTGTCAAAATGGAAACAAACCCATGAGTCAGATTGTCCTCGTTATGCCTTCTTTAATTATATGAAATTTTCCCTTTTGAGGGGGGATATAGGAACCTTTACTGTAATTCAGCCTTGCCTTTATGCTGTCACCCTCTACTTTGAGAACATTGTCTGGGATAACTGAATAGAAAACACTTATCCAGGTGTTCCACCGCTTCAATTTTTTTTTTCTAGTTGCTACTTTTAATGCTGCAAGTAAAGTCACTGCAGCAGACTGAAAGCTCTGATAACATTACTCAGTACATTATTTCCCAAACAACTGCACTGAAATCAATGGGGCTCTTCAGTGCAGGGCATCCCCTTGTGACAGAGCCTGGTTGCCCATAATTTGAAGCGATGTGAAGAACAAGGGTACTGGAAAGGTATTTGCTCCTCCTGCACAGAACTGCTTCTGAGAAGAGCTGTTAGAATTCTGTTGTGTTTTCCAGTCCAAAATTCCATTTTTCACCAGTGTGTTGTGTGAGCCAGCTGTGCTGGGCTGCAGCATTCATGCCAAATAAAACACACATTAGTGACAGAAAACAGAACAAAGAGAAAAACGCTGTCACAAAAGTGCTTTCTTAACTTTTTTAATGACTCTTGGAGCTTTATGGATAAGTTAGTGACAGAGGATGAGTCTTATTATGCTATAAAATGTTTTGCTGCTGTGTGTCTGGATACATTAGGAAAATACCTCAGGTTTGAATTTGCTGCTGTGCAGAGTGATGCCAACCTGCAACCTCTTTTTGGCTAAAGAGGTGCATGAAATACAAGGACACAGCCCTGCAGTGAGGGCTGGGCAACCTCTGCCAAGCCCAGAACCTCTGCCCTCATCCATCCTGCTCTCAGCAAGGAGCTGCACATTCCCAACAGGCCAGAAAAAATAAAGCACAACCTTTCCTTTATGAGCAAGTTTATGTGCATCAGCACTATGGCAATTCCAGGATGCAGCCTGGTGAAACCTTTCATGGGATGAAGAATTATCAGCTGACCATTTTCAGGTCACAGAGATGAGAATATATTTTAATGGAAGCTACTTCAGTGCAACTTGGAAATACCTGCCTATTTCAGGGGTCTAATTCCATTGGGATTGACTTAGAGGGTGCTGCTTTGTTTTGTTTTAATACTTTTATCTTTTTAAATAGAATAACATACCATCATTTTTGCCCATTGCTTTCAAACTAGATCTGCTTTTTTCACTGTTACTCTGATTTGTCAAATTTATTAATTTGATTTACCCTAATTTTGGTAATGATTTACTTTGTATTCTCTCCATCACATAGTTTGAATGGGTTTTTTTACTGCCTTGCTCTTTATTTTGACAGCATGGTAGCACAACTGAAAATATTAAAAAGAGGATTAAAAATATTATTAAAAATAATGTATAAAATTTAGATATAAAACTTTCAAAAATTGCTTCATATGAGATTAAAAAGCTTTGGTCAACTTTATAAAGATACTGCGATGAACTAGTGTTTTGTTTCACTTGAATTAGTGAACAAATTAGTACTTTTGCAAAGAAAGCCTATTGTGCTCTTTTTCTGC